GTGCTTACGTGTTTAATCCTCCTGGCAAGACAGAAGTCCGCGAATTGAAACGACGTGAACTGTGTCCCGTTGTCAGATACGAGCCTTTCATGATGGTCGAAACGACTGAAGACTTCTTACAACTTGTTAGTGGTTGCTGTGATCGTCGTTGTGTTCATGGGGAAAATCTTTTGCCCTCTGCTGTAAGCGTCTACGATAATGAGAAAAATTTGTCCGTTCACGGGACCTGCATAGTCTACATGTTCTCTTGACCGCGCATTTTGTGGCACCGGCCAAGAGTGGAGTTTGCGTTTTCTAAGGGACTTTGAAGCCAGCGCATATTGGTAGCAACATTTGATGAGCGTTTTGACTTGGCTGTCAATACGGGGTTAATAAACACACCTTCGGATCAATGATTTCATCCGGTTGGTCCCCGGATGTTCTTTTGTGAAGCTGCTTCAAAACATGCCTTTGCAGTTCCTCTGGTACGACCGCGCGTTCTGTGACCAACAGACAATCATCAGCAACGGAAATTGACAGTTGCCTTTAATGAAACTGAAGCAAGCCTTTGTTTTCAATGTTTTGTGGCCACTTGGAGAGGTGGTGCTTGTTTACTTGACTCAGCAGCGAATCCTGTATGGTTGCCCTGCGTATCACTGCGAATGGAATTGGAGCACCTTTGTTGGCTTCGATTAGTGTACATCGTACTTCCAGTTCAGCTGAGATCTGAGCTATGACTGAATCTTCCGAGTCCGGTGGTCTGTTTTCTAAAAGTCTTGATAATGCTTCCGCCTGACCGATCTTTTCAGTAGATTTAAACTTGATGCTGAAGTTGTAACCGAGTAGTATTGTAACCCATCTTTGAATTCGATTAGCACAAGAGACAGGAATGCCTTTCTTGGATTCGAAGACGGTTGATAATGGTTTTTGACAGTAATTTAATTAAACTTGCAGTCATAAAGCGGAACTTCCTCACAACAAAGACAATCGCCGAGGGTTCTTTTTCGATGTGACTGTAACTTCGTTCTGCAGCTGTCAAGGATCGAGCGGCATGGGCTACGGAATTTTCCGAGCTATCTTCAAACTTATGTGAAATAACTGCTCCCACGCCGTAGCTGGATGCATCGGTCACAACAATGATATCACGGGACAGGTCATAATGTATGAAAAAGTAGGTCGGAAGTAAGCATCACCTTGACTTTCTGAAAACTGTCCTGCCAATCCGCGTCCCAATTCCACTGAGAGTCTGTAGCGGACTAGGACCTTAGCAACGTGTTCGAACAAATTAACAAGGAAAGTAACCCAGTACAAAATCACAAAATTACAATAAGAAAAGAATGAGTAACCAATTGAGGACTCACGAATGTGTAGGTCCAATAGTCCATCGATCCAAATGCAGTAACCGGCTGTGGAAGGAAGTATGCACTCGTCGAAATTTCCCACGGATGGTTCACGCATGAGTGATATATTCCACGATAGGAAAATTATTCACGGTTAAAAAATATCACGGGGACTTATTGTGACGTTCAACAGTTGACACAAACACAGAGATCTAGTCCCACTGGTTCAACAGTTACCAAACAGTCCAAACGGAGCGTAAATACACTCGTTCAGCATGAAGTCAGCAAGTCGCGCCGGAAAATTGTGTATTGGTAACATTAAAACAAACGCCATGATGAAATATGTACGACAGTTACAAAGGGTAGTTTAAGTTCAGGAAAATGGTAAATATGTGACAACGGTTACAGACACTACAGTCCTTGATTAGGAGACGGACCACGGATATCATGCATTGCTTGCACAAAAGCAATATAATGACCGAAGAGTCCCAGGAACGACCTCAATGTGTAGGTAAATCCTTGGATGGGAGGCATTAGTTTGATGGTATCTATGTTTTTCCGGTCCGGTCTTCGGCCATGACGATCGATTATGGATCCGAGGTATTTGATGGAATTCATGAAAAACGGACACTTTCCACTTCTGAGGTGGAATCCACAGTCTTGGATTCGGTCCACTACTTGACCGAGACGTTTATGGAGAGCCAATGATTGATGATAATATATTCCAAATAAGCAACAGCGAATGATAGTCCTTGTAGCGTGGTGTCCATTAGCCACTGGAATATTGCCGGTGCGGACCGAATGGTAGTCGGTTGTATCGTAAAAGTCCACGATGTGTACTGATTGCAAGCAGGTGCTTACTCTCGTCTGACACTTCAACCTGCAACTAGGCATCAGATAGATCCAACTTGGCAAAACCTTTCCCACCGTTCAGCTTGGAAAACAATTTATCTGGAAACGGCAGCGGGTATTGATGATCGCGTCGAGACCAGCTGAAATGTCTGCACAAATTCTGACTTTGCCGCTAGGTTTTGTGACCACCAAAGTCGGTGCTGCCCGTTTTGAATGGTTGATCCGTTGAAAGACTGCCTCGTTGTGCAGTCTCTGTAGCTCTTGACCAACTAAAGGCAAGACAGCACATGGAACAGGCCTCCTTGGGCGGAACACAGACTTTTTGCATTCCGACGTAGAAACAGAACGGCTTTCGTCTTTGAACACATCCGAATAAGTTTTCAAAAGTTGTTCTGTCCATTTTCAGGTTTGAGAGACATCCGAATTTTGAGGTTTCATACAGTGTTCAGGGGAATCTCCATCAGTTTCAGTCTATCGATCCAGTCCAGGCCTGGCAGGTCCAAATGTGGTACATTGGTCAGGTAACATATTCCAGCGAAAAGAACATTGTTGCAGAGCACAGAACAAGAAAGCTCACCGATCAATTGCAATTTTTCCACCAGAAGCGCTTAAAGCAACACAATTCGTGGGGTTGAAAGGAGGCCAACCCGTTTTTCATAAAGAAAACTACTCACAAGGTTGCTGAAAACTCTTCGAGAGCCCACGACCAGCTCATCAGGTAGACCCAGTCCCTGAGTTTTCCGTCAACCTTATGTTCTACTTGAACCCAAATTGGACTGTTTTGGAGGAATATACTGATTTGCAAATCAATTTGTTTTCCACGATAGACTCAGCTGAATCTCTCGTTTATGATGTTCTACAACTGAATGTGCTGCCTCATGTTTCAGTTGGCACGATATTCAAGATATCACAGTATATTTTCATAAAAGAAACTACTCACAGGGTTGCTGAAAACTCTTCGACAGCCCACGACCGGTTTCACCCTTCTCGGGGCTCACCAGGTGGTAGGCTCAGTTCCCGAGTTTATGTCAACCTACTTGAACCCTAACTGGACTGTTTTCGAGAAATACACTCATTTGGAAATCAATTTTGTTCTCATGAGGGACTCAACTGAATCTCTCGTTTATGATGTTCTACAACTGAATGTGCTGCCTCATGTTTCAGTTGGCACGATATTCTCAATGTATTTTCCATGTATCTTTTGAAATGATTATGATGTCAGAGGCAATATCGAGTTGCGGACATACTAGTGTGTCATTGAGGACAACTGACACTAATTTCCCCTGACGTTTCCAATCCGGATTGATAGTGACTAGTACTGGTTCGGTGCGTGGCTTTGAAGGACGCACTTTTCGCTTGAATGGTTTGTTGCCTTGACTGAGAGAAGGTTGTGCGGCAAAACCAATCTACGCTGAGAAGCCAAAAAGCACAGAAAAGGTTTCCATTTTTATTAGAAACCATCGACGCTACACATTTCACAAAACTTCCCAAGAGGTTGTAATGAGGAAACGTTAAACTTGCGCAGTAAGTTGTGCTGAAATAAATCCACCAGGAGTTCTCGGTAGTTGAGTTTAAATATTCTTTTTTCTAAGTCATTACCTGAGTTTGAAGAAAACTGTCATTTACAAGCGCGCTCGAATTTTTCATCGTCAGTTCGAATGCACCCTCTAGAAGTGGGGCAATTCTAGTCCGGCTTCACGAACCAAACCCTACCTACGGGTTTGGGTCACCAAATTTTCACGGGGAGCACGTCACCAATTCCAAAATAGATGTGTTTTCGTTTTTTTTGACAGCCTCACTTCGATATTTTTATCCACTGCAAATAGACCGACCACGTGGTACTCGGCTGCACAAGCAAAAATTCGGAAGCTGGGATGGAATTTCAAGATGAGAGATTCTCTGCTCCAAGGAAGAATACACATTGACGTATTCGGCAAACTTCCATCCGAATTACATCACCATCAAACTTCCACCCACCCGCCGTCGCTAGACGTTGTAATCAAAGACCTCTCCACAAACTTTTTTTGGTCTCTTTGTGTTGAGTTTTGTCTCACCGAATTCCAAAAAAAAGCACTTTGCACATTCCAACCCAGAATGCCGTACACACTCCTCACATCCTCATCTCGAATTTGATCACTCCATGCTTGCTTCCCTGCTGAATTTACTGTTTCTCTTTGTGTTCTCCAGATGACGTGTCTGTCGGGAGGCCAAACGCTATCATCAGTTGATCCCCGCAGAGTGTTTCTAGATGTCAGGGAGTATGGTGAGATGTACTTGCCAACTTTCTGGCCAGGATGCATAGCAATAGATCATACCGACCGCATGTTTCTCGGCCTAAAACTTTTGAACTCGGCTTCTTTGGGACCTCATTCTCAACTGAACTTGATATCTTTACGATGGATAGCTTCTAACCAAATAATTCACACGGACGTTAGAAATTTGTGTTCCCATTCCCCTCTCACACATTATACACGATTTCCTAACTCGGATTCCACTTTGTACATCTGGAATCCATTTCTGAGTGCATGAAGCGCTTCCCGTCTTGTGTTTGACAAATTGATTAGAATTCAAATGCGATCAATCTAAGACTGGCTTCTAAGATGACCTAAATTTTTCGATCGTTGGGGGGATAGCTGTCTACACAATCCACCTGTTTGGCACCTCCGTTTTTGGGATTGTCAAATTCGATATATGCCAGGTGTTCTTCAGATGAATAAAAACTATCAGGCAGATCGATATCAATAGCGAATGGTAAATCAAGCAACGGAGACAGTCAAGTTGCACAGCACTCAAACGGACATACACACACGCACATGTAGATTGTCCTGTTAGGTTACCTCAGTGTAAGATCTTGTCACAATTCTTTGTCTGAATAGAAACGGTTGTGGAAACCGTATGGATTGGAAACACTGCTTGTTCATCTTAGGCAGCTCATTGTGTGGTAAGTCCATTGAAATTTAGGTTTTGTAAGCGCTATCGGCTTTTACTCGAAGTAATGTCAGAAGGTGAATAACACTAACAATAAAGAGTTATGTATAGTAGCTAGCGGAGACACTGTAGTACAATTAAATAATACACAAAAAGGACTAAGAGACTTATCGAGTTCTTCGTTTGATAAGTTGTAGTAGATGTAGTCGAGGTTTGTAGGACGCAGTGTTGAAATCTGGCCTCGTTCTTGTCATTTAATCCAAAACGATATTGAGCCCAGACTTTTCCTGCACAGTGAGTCGTGTGTGGGTTTGAAGTGACTCTGATCAAGGCGCTGTGTGAAGTGACGAGCGTCGGCATCCTGCTGTCGTTGTTCCGCATATATATATATATATAT